GATTCATTAATCTTCAAGAGAATTATTCCAATAACATTCAAATAACTGGACTATTTACAGAAGTTACATAGAATTTTCCCCTAACCCACTGGCAGTAATGAAGCCTTCCGCATTATTAAGCTACTGCTGACAGGAACTGCCTACGTAGTCAAAGCCTGGGACTGGAAGAACTGAATTCAATATCAGCATGGCTCAGCACTCCCACTCCTGTCTGCTTCAAAGCGTCTGATTAGCGCGTGTGATCAGAGGAATATTAAACAACTGAACACTCCCCTGGCCGCTGTCTGCCAAACACAACACTGGAGGAAGAAGGAAGGGAGCTGAGGGAATAAGCTCCATCGTTAGCTTCAATTTGTCTCTGAAAAATCTGAAATAAGAGGTTCTGAAACAGAGACCAAAACAGTGACACAAATGTTCACAAACTCGTACCGCGGTTCTGGAAAACGCTGCCGCAGATGCAGCCTGCTGAGCTCTCATTACATTGCTAATGTTACAAGAGTCATTTTTCATTTCACAACTAACATCATAACACATGTAAACCACAACATTATTGTTTTATTTAAAGTTACAGCAATCTGTATATTTTGTAAACTCTACGTTATAGTCATTTTGCTGTGGCTCAACAGTGTGTGTCATGTGACTATTTGATCCAATCACAACCGAGTGATCACGTCTGTGGGAAAAGCTAGGCTAGCTTCATTAGCTTAAGACCGATAACCCTCTCGATTGCACCAATCTACTAGTGATTAATAAAACCCAGAAGTTTCTTCTTTGTTTCATCTTATTCACAGTTCCCCTCACCCCCTCAAAAAAGGCCTGAACTAAACCATGACTTCAGAGTATTGTTACACCCCTAATACTTTCACAAATACATTGCGTATTTCCACTGAAACATTACTCACTTAGGGAGTACGTCAATTATTACTACAATATAGAGCACAGAGGAACAGCACTATCAGCTCTTTTGGGCAACAAATCTAACATGACAACAAAGTGTTTAAGCTTTATGGGAGGAAGGTTTTTATGTTTTAATCTTGCGTAGTTATATGGCCCTGGAACTGTTAGAAGGAACCAGGCAAGATATAAAGTACTAGGCACCAGAACCTCACCTATAACATCTGAATGTACAATCACGAGAGAGAACTAACAAAATGTCTAAAAACCTTTAAGTGCTGAGAAAAGGACAAACCCAATCACCCGTGAGGAGAATGTAGAAAAATAACAAACCCATCCATCCGGAGGATAAAAGCTACCATGCTATGAAATCACAGTAATTCAGACAGATAGCAGCTTCGATACTCAAATTCACTTTGTTCCCTGCGCCCGTTGGTCTTTCCGGCAAACTACCAAACACACTGGCTTTAGCACAAAAGAACAGGCCAGTGACATAACTAGCTTCCCTGCCAATTTACTGCATTTAATTACGCTGAGTTAATTCCCGAGTACAGCATTATAATTTATGTAATTGGCTTGTGCATAACTGTGTTAAGAATTAGGAAGGTTGCTAAGGGGAAAAGATTCATGCCATTTGTTGCCATCTTTCCAACTTTCTGAAAGGTTCCGGACAGTGTTTGATACGGAGCACAATCCAGGTAGCAGTACTGCACGTTTTCCAAAGGTGCAGTTCAAAGGATGTGTGAACGATGTAAATGACTCTGCTAAGCAGTCCTGCTCAGTAACTCCAACTCCCACCAGATCATAAACAAACTTTCACACTGAATAGTAAAGCAGCTTTGGTACAGGACTAATGGGCTGCTATAACATTCAGGCTGCACAATTTGAAAAAATCACATCCTTTAAACATGAAACTATTTAATATAAGGCCAACAAATATTTACGTTTTTACTTTATCCGCAGCTAAAAATGTAAGCCCTCAGCCGAACGCTGGCACTCCTCCGTGTACCACGGCGGAGGTCAGCATGTTAAAAGCCCATTTTGTGTTCTTTATTTAGTCTAAAACGAGTAGTCTGGCAGGGCACAGGGAAGAATGAAGGACAAGAGAAGCAAATCAACCACAATGCTCAGAAACAATAAATGATTATCAAAACATTTTTGTTAATTTAAAACTGAAAGGACAAAGGGGACAACCCAAAATTTATAGCGAGACCATTATAAGGATGTTTTAGTGCGACTGCCTTTCTGTAAACATCATTTTAAGACTAAGAAGATGAGACATGAAAGATCACTATCATTACAATCCCAGGAAAAGCAGTGGGTGAAAACCAAGCCTGGGTGACGTTATGCAGCAAAATAAACAGGTTGGATTAAACTTTCCTGTCTGGCTGGTTCATTTCGGCAATCAACAGTCCTGTGCCGAGCTTGATGAAGAACACACACACACAGACAGATTTCATCACAAGACCTGAAGAATGTAATGATTTGTGATAGTTATGCTTGAGACTGAATCTGATATGATAGCAGTGAGGCCTACACAAATGAATGCTTAAGTGGTCAATGCAATATCCATTCTTCCCATCCATTTTCTGTATCTGCATGTTATATGCAGGGCCGTGTGGTTCGAAAGCCTACCCCGGAAGCTACAGAAACAGTAGGAGTCAGCCTTTGGAAACACTTATATACACCGAATGTAACCATAACAGTGAAGGCATCTTGGTAATATTGTATAGGTCCACGTCGTGCTGTCAAAACAGCTCTGACCCATAGATCCTGGTAAATGACACACTCGCCCCCAGCCGTCCACATCATATAACAGAAAACGTAACTCAGATCAAGCCTCCTTCTTCCATTGCTCTATAATCTAGTTCTGATGTTCATGTGTCCATTGTAGGTGCTTTCGGAGGCGGACAGGGGTCAGTATGGGCCTGACTGGCCTGCAGCTATGTAGCCCCACAGCTCTGATGCACTGTGTGTTCTGACACCTTTCAATCACAGCCAACATTAACTATTTCAGCAATTTGTGCTGCAGTAGCTTTTCCAGTAGGATTGTACCCAACGAGCTAGCCTTCTCTCCCCACACACATCAGTGAGCCTTGGGCACCCATGACCCCATCATCAGTTCTCTAGTTGGCCTTCCTTGGACCACCTTTGATAAGTATTGACAACTACATACCGGGAACAGCCCACAAGACCCGCCATTTTGGAGATGCTCTGACCCAGTCGTCTACCCATCGCAATTTAGCCCTTGTCAAAATCGCTCAAATCATTATTCTTGCTCATTTTTCCTGGTTCCAACACATAAACTTCAAGAACTGACTCTTCACTTGCCTAATATATAATGGCACCCTTAACAGGTACCATCGTAACAAGATGATAAATGTTTTTGACTTCACCTGTCAGTGATTTTGATGTTATGGCTGACCAGTGTAATCTGCAAGGTAAATCTGTACATGTGATTTACCAACATAACAAACACTCACATCTCAATTAACCGATCAAATGTCTACAGGACAAAGGATTGCAATTAAATATATGTACAATAAAAGTATTTAATCCACCTGAGTGGAAAAGAGCACTGTGGATGTAAACAAGTGACTCAAGTATGTATAATTTTTGCACAAATCAAATATATAGTGAGCAGCATATCATGCAATTACATTAATGCAATTGTGACATGACTAATAACAGTAATAAGCATATACAAGATAAGCAAACATAAATAAGCTTGCTAACCATGAGCGATAGATGCGATTTAATGGTTGTTTGGCAATATGAGCTTTTTTAGCTCTGTGATGGGCCTAGAAAAGTTGGAAAAGTTGGCATGTCATGTAGCTGAGTAAAGCTGATAAGTAACTTATATGAGTGCTGTTCATACTCTTAGGGTTCTGCCATTAGCATCATTCTAAGGTCAGCCACAAACCCGTCGATTCACACTCCCCACTGAACAGCCCAATGGGGACGACCCCGTTTCAGGCTTGTGTGATAAAAGACAAGAGTTATAAGACGTTACTCTCGTTCCTTGATTCAAGATTTCTCCTGATCCCCTGACATGCACGTGCCGTACTGGCAGGAAGTCTCACCTGATGATACGCTGGGCAGCGTACTGGTGCAGGCAGCGAAACTGGGCTGACATGTTAGCCAGGGCGGCCAGGCAGTTTGTGTGAAGGTACTTGTCCTACGGACAGATCCGAAACAAACACAAAGCACTTATCAGCTGTCAGCCCCGGAAAGCGACGGCAATTTACCAACCACCCAGAGCAAAAGTGAGTTTTTAGGTTATTCTTAAAAGGGTGCGCACAGCAGGAAGACAGACTCCGTCGGTTCTACACAATTCACGAGAGCCCGCAGACTCACCCTGGTCCTGGTCATGTTGAACTGGATGGTGCGGATTACCACAAGGATCAGGAGGCTCCCCAGGGAGATCTCAGTCAGAGAGCGTTCCGTGTACCAGGTGATGTTCTTCAACATCTGCAAGGGGAGTGCAGAGGGAGAAGTGAAAAACTGACAGCTAGTGATGGCTTCATTGTGGTCAGAGCTCCCTGGAACAGAAGTGCTTTCATCCAGTGGCACTACACTGTTACTCCAACCCTTCCCAAGCTACAGTTAGCAGCCAGAGCACCTGAGGGAAACGCAGACGCGCTAATTCAAACGTTGTGCCCAGCAGAGGTCAAGTTTCCCCGTAAAATCACTTCCGTTATTCTAGAAGACTTAAAATTCTTGAAGAATACAAGTTTCATAATTCACGTTGGATACCACAACACCATTAGTTACATAAATGACAAAATTTTTAATCAAAATTGATCTAATGTCCATTATATTCGCAAAGCAAACCCATAAAAGGTCTGGCTTGCAACACAATTGCAATTTTTTATCTCAAGAGTATAACAACCGGTTTTTATTCTCTCTGCTAATTTAGTGTCATCGTACTTGACATCAAACATAAGGTTTACTTAAGGCAGCAGATAGAAAAGCACATACTCTTGTGACCAACAATGATTTCCGGTTCAGCAGCCCAGGAAACCCTTTAGCAAAATATACCCAGCTATCTAAATAAGTAAAAACGTATAATTGTAAGCTGTCATTCACGGTGGATAAAAGCATCGGCTAAACAACTCCATTACATGAAATAACAAAAATAAACCCCACAGTCTACTATTTGAACTCTTTAAGCAAGGCTTTATACAAGCATACACATCTGCTGCAACATGCCATATACTTTGTAAGTATAGATATTATTATAAGCATTTGTTGTTTGCTTATGGTAGAAGATCACAAACTAACCCCTGGTGTTGCAGTTTTAGACTGGCTTTGAGTGGGTGTTGGCACAACACATGCTAATTTTGGCACGCAAGCTGTAATTAAGCAGCTCTGAAAAGGTTTGATTAAAACTACCAGTCATCTATGGCAACCACTTGTGTCTTATTTGTGAGTTTGAGGGTGGGGGCATTGAATTTTACAGTAAAACTACACTGGAAAATACAGCTGCAAATGGATTTTTAAGAAAACGTTATAGCACTGTAATAATAAAATGAGCTAAAATACACGCATGCACGCAAACTGTGACATACCTATGTGAATATCTACATGCACAAGTAAAACACATAAACGCTTTTAAAATGTGAGGCAGCTGTTCGGGATGCACAGTATGCTTTCTGGTTGGCCAGGAAATCTGGTCACAAATGCAGACCCCAGAATGCTGAGCCACAACAACTCTGGCTGCAGCATTTAGAGATGATTGAGGAAAAGGACGTAATGGCAACTGGGGCGATGGGGGGCGGGATTACGGGGGGTAACTGATGCACACCAAGGGCTTTGGGGGGCTGGGACCAAAATGCACATAGTGTGAAAAAGGTTGACTGGAAGGAAATGCATTAATGAATCCAAAAAATGTCGCATGATTTTGGTAAAAATTCATTGGATGCCTGTAGGAGTGGATCCTCTTTTATATCTTTTTGTGCTGTAAACTCAAGTGCAACAGCAAATCTATCAACCGTCAGAATGTGTGGGTGACAGGCCTTACAGACTGCTAACTCTCCTCACAATTAATTCCAGAGGACTTCTTGACGTCTCACAATGACGAACTGTGCCCAGATGCCAGTCTCTATAGGAATCGTGGAGGCTGGTTTTCGGTGTGGCAGTGAGCCAAAAGACGCTATAGACTTCTGTTGGAATGGTAGTCAATGGTAGCTATTGGAAGCTGTAAAAACACTGATTGGTTTGAGGCTGTGTGAGATGTTATTTTAGGGATAAAAAGATTGGCTGTGTTAATGCATTTATATATGAGTAACTGCACAATGAGCGCTGATGGTGATGCACAGCCATGTGTGGCATTTATAGACGCGAAGGCTATTGTTCCTGTGTGAGACTCAGGGGTCCTTGCTGTTGCTACACTTAAATCATGCTAATGAAAGGCTTACTGACCACACAGGCACCTTGAGATTAGATGTGCACAACAGACTTTAATTGCTTTTGACACAGTTCATCCACTTACCACTATGCATGCAACGATACAAAATCCCTGCAAATACACACACATGCAAACATTTCAAAATTAATGTTGCACTGCTAAGAAAGCCAGTTCAGAAATTTCAACATAACTTTTGAAGGGAAAAAACACTTTGATGCATCAAGGGTTGTAACATTATAAATGCATTCAATTAGGAGGGAAATAGCATGAAATCATCTTTGTGTGACCAGATAGGGCCTGCTTCTCTTCATTACGGCAAACAGAGCGAGCCCGAGAGGATTAGCCAGGATTCTGATTTCACGCTTGTTTACTCTCCTTCACTTTGTTTGGTTGGTAACAGAGGTTTGAAATGCTAAAATAATGCTGACATTAATCACGCTTTTTTTTTTTTTTTTTTTTTTTAATTGATGCACTACAACAGCGCATTCTATAATCGAAACCTTCCATTTTCCAGCTGTACAATTTTTTACACAAATGTGTAAATCTCCTATTTGCATTATAAAGTATTCTGACATCACTACAGGTGATACAAGCAACAAGTACAACAAAACATAACTAAAACCTAAACATCTCAGCGCTTCAAATGTGAAAGTGTTGCATTGCAATGTAGCAAATTAATAGCACTAGGAATAAGCTGTTGCCACATGTCATTTATCTACAAGTCGAGAGCTATGCAGTGATTGTTATGGATCGTGGCTCCTTACTCTGAATGAATGTCCTAAAATATAAATACTCAAAAAACCTCACACATTCCAGTCATACTACTGCGCTAATGTAATGTATCTCTTCTGTATCAACCGGAATTAACAATGTGAAATACGCCTTGGTAACATGACACAAAGGAAACCTGAATTGCAGAAATGGAGCTGAGTTTGCCGTAGCTGGTAACGAATGACCTGTAATTAGTGGCACTGCCAAGGCAGGTATGGGTGAGCTGGGCTGGAGACCGACATCTCTCAGCAGGAGCAGACTTGCCCCTGCTTGCCTAGTGAAGAAAACAACTCAAAGGAAGCTTAATCTGCAAAACCGAGCACCTTGAAGAAACGAAGATCAACGGTGCTCCGCAAAAAACACAGGGTGCTGTGGCCTTATTCTCCTGCCCAGTAGAACAAGTGTCACTTTCTGCATGTATGTTTCATTAGACTGGATTCAGTCCCCTAACAGAGGAGCACCCTTGGTGAGACCAAGAGGCATGCTTTTCAACATAATGACCTCAAACAGCTTGCAAACTGCAGCAACTGTACTGCTATCTTATCAAGCTACTTAACAGCCTGCCTTTAAAGCCAGTCTACAATTAAATTAATTAATTCACAGAAGAATGGCTGCTACAGTAAAGACTCCTGAGAATGGGGGAAAAGCCATGGTTCTTGTTCAAAAATTAGGTGATATTAAATAAAACAAAAAAAAAAAAAACAGATTTTCAGAAGGAGTTTTTAATTATTCTTATCCAGACCCACCACAACTTGTTTCAACATATTTCCAGTGCTTTAGGTCTCATATTTTCATTTGGGACTGTGATACGTTAAACCAGAATACGGTCTATACAAGTTACACAAGAATACGGTCTGGTGTACCCTGTGTGTAGTCCACACAAATCCTCTCCAAAAGTAGATGAAAACCAGAAAACACCCAAATTTCAGCTCTATCAGTCTACAGAAACTGTCCACAATTTTCCAGCAGGACCATAACACTGACAAACCAAATACAAGCTATAGGTTATCTGTATAGTCACAACACATTTATCTGAGCAATGTTTTTCCTGATCAGTTGGGAAAAAAATATGCCTATTTAATGCACTGTACACTTTTTATTCGGCATTGCATATTTCAGGGAGTGAAAATGTACCCAATCCAAAAACAGCAGCCGTCAACTATGCAGAGGGTGACAGGTTTTGTATTCCGTAAGAATAACGCACACTACATTATAATTTACAGCATGATGCACATTTCTACAATGATTTGAGACCGAGTATACAAAAGCTAAATCTCTCACCATGTATACAAAAACAGACTGAATGCAGATCCTCTCCCCAAAGCTACTTTTTAACATGCAGAATGTGTGGAAACCACGCAAAAAGAACTGGCCCCTTTCCAGCCCTCGATGTAACATAAAACGAATGGGGTTTCAGACATGTCAGCAGATATAAATTAAACATAACACGCTGAAAGCCCACTGGAGAAAGAGGCTGCAGAGAGCGTCGGAGAGCACGCTTTTCACAGACCATCAGGTTTGTGATGCTGTCATTCCTCCAAATGGCACAATTGCTGCATGTCTATTATCAAGACATGACTGTACAAGACGGAACCATATTGCATATAAACAAATATTTCATTAGTGTTGAATGCTTGGCGATTGATGGTGTGAAAGATTGTCAAAACAAACTACAGAGAAGCATCAACATCAAGATGGTACCAAGTATATCTGCCATATGCTGCTGGTATACGTTTTACATATAAACGTATAGCCCATATGACACTAATGATGGATATCTGCATTTGATAATACACACATGGATTGATGCAAGAAATGAATGTTACAAAGTATAAAGCAGAAATAGGAATACCCCGGTTACACATTACAAGTGAAATGTACCTTGAATGGATCTTGGGGAAAAGACAAATTAATATTTTGATAATAAGAAATAATATTTATAGAAAATAAGATATGGAATAATAGTATTTTGTTAGTTATAAACTTAAATTCCTGTATCGACAATCACGCTGGTAAGTTCTCACTGACTCGGTAAAACTAAGAACAAGATATGAAGCACGAAAGTTACCAATAAACGCACAAGAAAAAGTGAGTACATTCATTTCCCATAATAGACTGCTTACTTAAAGTAAGCATAACCACAGAGACAAGATCAGACTTCTAAGAATTATCAAAGCTTACTTGTTTTCCTTAATGCAACAGACACGAGAGGCAAACGTAGCTGATTGTGTCCATTTATAGAGCTGCATGGGGGGGATGCTATTAAAATAAGCTGTCAAGTCATATTTGATTTACCCGTTTTACGTTATGTTGCTAACTGTGCACAGGTGATTATTTTGCTATAAAAACATGCAACCTCATCTTGACGCTGGCAACGACATGTGTGGGGCCAGATTTCAAAAACACGCTACGCTTCCATGCACAACGCCGACTGAAGTTGAGCTGGATGGGATTAAACCCAAAATTCAATTGCTTATTGATAGATGCCTGGCAAAAAGACCACAATTGCACTGCAGGCTTTGGCTTTAAAACCAACACATCAGTTTGCAAAATTAAATATCATTCACATGTAATTTTAATGAGGCAAAATCAATCATCAAAGATTTTTGATTTCACATTTTTTCATCAACTACCTGCAAAATTAGGTTAAACCAGAACGATTTCTGTAATACACGCATACTCACAACTTCATGAATGGATCGGTTGAATGTGTCATCCTCTGTGAGGATAAGGAGGATGATGAGGGCCATATAGACGTGGTGAGAGTTCCTGTCCTCCACATGGTAAAGGATGTCCAGGATGGGCATGACCTGTGACGAGAAGGCCACGGTGAGAGACCACACGCGTGGCACCGCGACTCCCGCACTGCAAGCGCATGGGGCACATCTTTGTCACCGCGTCCAAAACGCCAGGCTCGAAGACTGTCTGTTGCCATGACGTCAGACACGGGTGTGAAACGCGGCATTCCAAGTATGCAGACACGGGTGTCAGCGGAACCAAAACACCATGGATATAACCTACACAAGATCCCACACATCTACAGTAGAACATGAATTTAGAACACTTTTTATGGAAACTATTCCAATTTACAGCACCTTCCTGCATATAAGCAGGAAATGTAGATGTGTTACTAAGCTCACCAGCAGCTGACGCACATGATCGGCTTAATGAGTCAAATAAAACCTCCCCAGGAGCACAGGTGAGTGGGAGAAATAGTGTCACTGCAGGGGAAATGGCTCATGTGCTCAGTAAGGTACTTAAGACCTGGTGAGCTCTCGTCTGCCAGCTCACGCTCCAGAGCAGCTGCCAGCCATCTCCTGTGTCCCATTATGTCAATGGGAGTGACCGGGGGCCAATGGCATAGCCTCGGTGACTAAGATCACCCCCCAGCATACTGGCACCTTTCCCTGGGTGCCACTCCATTATATCAGCTCAGAGTCTCACTGTCACGGAGCTCCTGCTTCGGGGAAGCTCGCTGCAATCTCTGCTCAGTTAAACATTTTCAGGAGCTAAATTGGGGTTTGTTTTTTTTTTTTTAACAACTTAATCACTCGATCATTTTTGTTTAAAATGGTGTCAATAGTTGACAGTTCCATTGCGGACATAAAAATATTCATAAATGTAACACTTTTTTTAGGAAAATCCATGTATGCTGCAATGAGTCATGGACACCAAAAGTGACTTACTGGTAGATGCTGAAATGATGTGCTTCGTGTTTGGAGACATTGTGAAATAATTCGTTGGTGAATAGTGAGACTGAGTAATGTTTGTGAACGGGAATGCCAGTGTCATCACTGCAGGGAAGTGTTTAGAAATGTGGTGAAGGCACGGAGCTTCAAGCAGACAGCCACGCTCACTGCCACAAATACGGTCAAAACTCGGAACCACCCTGACCGTGACATGCAGCTGTACTGTAGAAATTTCAATTGCATTAATTACTACAGAGCACTAATAATGTTGTTTCAGATAATAAGACTGCACCAATCATTCCCAAATTAAAGACAGGGGTATGAAAACATTCAAAATTATAGCGCAATCAGACCATCAGCAAACAAAATATTAGCTCAATAATTAATACAAAATTCATGGTTCAGAAAAGCTGTCAATGGGAAAGCAGGGCCAGTTGCATAAGTGTGTTTGGGTTCCGGGGGGAATAAGCAGCGGAACAGCAGGATGCAGGGAGTCGGGTCAGCTGGAACTTGGACATGAATGTGAAAAGCAGAGGAGAAGCCCCTGGGGGCGGCAGCTCACCAGGTTCTCCGTGTCGGTGCGGGACAGCACGTAGGTGCGCACGTTGGTGTTCTGGTGCAGCAAGATATACAGTAGCAGAGTGGCCTGATCCGACCTCTGCTGGTCACACAGGGCCGTGTACAGGCTGTTGAAGTTGATCTGGAAGGCGTGTGGGTTCGGTGATGGGATAGACGACGTATCTGAAAGTGACAGGGTGCATTTAGGGTCAGGAGGGCTCTCCAAACTTACCCGAATATCACATTATTAGTACAGCTATTCTCTCTTTCAAAGCAATTGGTTTCAGCAAGCTGTAACAAAAAACATCATCAATATAAATATATAGAGTAGTAAAATAATTCCCTGTCGACGTCAAGTACAATTACTCGGTAAATATAGATATTATTTAAGCATTATGACCAAAAGTCCAATGCAACGGGACAAACCGCATTACTCCACGTGGACAGGATGTTCTGGAACACACTGACGACCAGGTTTTTAACTGCATTACCATATTTTGTCCAGATTAACTGTTCAGATTAAGAAAAAAACCTTTTAAAATAAATAAATAAATAAATAAATAAATAAAACTACTATGAATCTAACTCATTTTTGCCAAGCAATTTAAACCACAACAGCATAAATGAATAACTGAAATACATGACAGGATCCTAAGGAGCTGAGAATCTTTCCTAGCATTCCTCACTGTATCATGGAACTAACTGCTAGCAGAAATTAAAATGTGCATAAAAGCTGGACAGTTAAATAACAGCCAAAGCCATCCAGGCCAGCAGAATGTTCCGGACGTGTCCCTTTAAATTAGAAATGACACAGAGCCACGTTGCCACATCAACTTAAGAAACCAACAGAAGTAAACTCTGGAAAAATAAACAATAGCATGATGTAAACTCAGGAAGCAGGCAGACTGGCGGGGAATCCGTAAATGACGGCTGCTGAATCACAAAGGAAAGAGCCGCGCTGCGGGGAGGGGGGGCGGCGAATAGCCACCCACCTTGCGTGTTCTTGAACGACTTGATGGCCTGTCGGTAAGGATTGGGCCAGTCGGGCCCATCGGACAAGTTGGCCAGCACCAACAGTAACAGCAGGCTCTGATTGGGCAGAGGCAGCGGCTGCTGCTCTTGGTCTGGGCTCAGCTTGCTTCCGGCACCCCCGAGTGTGAAGACGGTCCAGAGTCCACCTGCAACAAAGAAGGGGAGCAGCACAGGCGCTGAGTGGAGGACACGTCGGCCTCACATGACCCCCTTCACGTTACCGGAACAGAGGAATGCATAACTTAAATACTGACGTAAAGACCATTTATTGAGGATACAAGACTTAGAGTGCTGGTTTAGCTTTTCTCTATGCTTCCCTCTAGTGGTCAAAGAACATAAATCAATCTATAGGAGTGTCCCTAGCACTGGGCTAAAGCTAATCTTGAGAGAAAGGAGAAAAAAAAATTACTTTGAATGATCAATTGCTGCCCAAAAAACACAAAACAACTAATGAGGATGCGAGGAATAGGAGTGAGAGGCATAGCCTTTGTTATGCTGCCAATAATAGCGATAATTATGGTCCAGCAAATCTGAGTGTAATCCATTTGTTGATCAAACTTTGGTGAATGCTAAAATTACAGAAGAGCTGCCCTTAGCCTGTTAGACACAACAGAAGGCATGTGATCATGTCTGCATGATACACTAGCCCCACAAACCTCATGATCAACACTCTCACTCCCCATAAAAAAACCCCTAATTCTCAGTGTGATATTTAGCGATTCAGAAATATTGATAGACTAGACTAAGAGACGACAATCTCGTGACTAACCCTTGCCCTGTCCTGGCCCCGGCGCCGCTAGACCGAGGCTCCAAACCCAAGGTTCTGGCATCACAGCTTCCAGACCAACACAAAAGTCACCTTTCACCTCATTGCCATTTGTCATCTGTCTAGTCTGTCTCCCCACCCTTGGAGGAGATAATGCAATGCTTCCTTTGTTAATGGCTGGACGGGTGTTGCGTAATAGGCTTAATGAAAGCACAGAGCATTTGAACAGCTTCCCATCTGCACATCCCATTTGTCAGCTACACGGCCCGAATTGGAGCATCCATTACATGTAAAGAACAAGCTACAGGGGAGAGAATCAGTGTTAGTTATGTGTAAAAAAAATAAATAAATAAAAAATCCGGCCAACAATTGGAAAGAAATGGAATGAACACAGAACGGGCCACTGAGCCGAACCAGCAGGATTCCTGAGATGCCTTGCAGTGAGACAGTGAGCCCGTGTGCAGGGGAGGCCTCTTGGTGACAGCAGCGGGAGATGGGGAGAGAGGGCCTCAAGTTTCACTATCAAATACTCAGCCCTCCTACCTGATACGCAGGCCAGAAGGCCAGGCATTCCATTCTGCATGTGGAAGAGGAAAGCCAAGCTTTCAAAGTATCCTACTCGCATTAGGGGCCGTAGACACAGTATGAGGACATACTGAGCAATGTGAAAATCATGTTTCTGCTTGGGTAAAACAACTGTTCAAGGAGGACAGCAAGGACCAAACAGCTACAAATGAGCTACTGTAACAATGACATGCACAGACATGCAACTTCGGGTTCCTCAGCAGGTAATTAAAGTTGGAAACACAAGAAATCCAAAACGATCACTGATTTCCTACCACTCTGAGAAACCCTGATACAGCTGCGAATGCGTGCTCATCAGAATAAGGCTATTTGCTTCCACGTAAAAGTTACATTTGAGAATGTTATTATTAGGTTTTACAGATGCAATACAGGAAACAAGAAACGGGTCATACTTGACTCATACTGCAAAGAGACACTAGTTACAGTGCAGTTCCAGCTTGCTTCAAATTTTCAATGCAGAAGAGTCGGTTCTGCAAAGGTGCTGCTGGGATTGGAGAGCAACCGTGACATAAAACCGAAGACACACATATTTCCTATGGGTGTAACGGTACACGGTATATGACTGCACCGTTCAGGACGCCCCCGACGGTTCAATACACACATAAACCGTGGTGACACCATATGCCTATCATTTTCCTATACATACTGACGCAAATATAAGACGATGTTTTTCCCGAAAAAAAGAAAAAAAAAAAACATCTAAAACTGGGGTCGTCTATTTTGAGGGCTAGAATTTAAATGTCATTATAGAATAGCAGATGGTGTGAATTATTTGCCTCCAGGAGAAAGGTAGCCGCATACATCAAATGTAATCTACCTCGTTTCAGCAACACGACGTTTTATGAGCAGTGATCCCACCCACTGTTGACAATTGGCTGACGTAATGTGACGGCGTGGGATTGGTCAGCAGCCGGCGTTCTTCGTACCGCACTGCACTTATCTTTAAATGGTGTGAATTAATATGTGTATTTGGGTATCTATGTTAATTTTAAATGTTGTAACTGGGTAACCGTGAGTGTCATGTAGACAGTTGGTTTCCTTGTCTGTGCCACTGCCAACATTAAACTGATAGTGGCTGTTAATAAAGAAAGCAATTTTCATTTTAAAAGGGCTGTAATCTTTTTTATTAAAACGACTCAATCACTCGCCACAATACGTTTTTTTTGGCCCCTTTATGTACTGCAAGTCTGCTGCATCAAAAACATTATGCGTTCTCTAGGATAGTGGAGATTGCAATATTGATTATCTACACTTACTATGCTGTGACTGCCACCGGTTACTTTTTAACAGTAATAGGCTTAACTTTGTATATGTTCTTGTCAAATGACATCTCTTTTCTTTATAAAGATAAGATCCGGGAGCAGGTGCCTTGGTTCAGTGTGTGTGTTGACATGCTTTTTTTCCCTCTAGTTTAACCCCAACCTCACCATAAAGAAATAGGTCTCCCATTAGGGTACCAACTTGATTTTGCACTTTGTGTTATTTTTGCATTTAATATTGCCAGTACAAGAATGTACCCTGTTTATATAAATTAGAGGAGGCAAATCACTTCAAGGTTGTCAAAGCTTAGAGAGAAGGATTTAATTTCCTTGATTTCATACAGCAGAGATACAACCTAGGCCAAGTAAGTCATGCTGCCATTTTGTTGACTGGAGGAGTTGTTCTATGGGAAATAAAGAGTTAATTAATTAATTAATTAAAGGGTAATGTGCTTTTATTTACTTTGTAAATATAAAGATACCAAAACTACCGTTTCCAAGCTCCAAAAACTGACACACAACGAATCGTGGGAAAATTGTGCCGGTTACACCCCTAGTATTTTTGTTCACACGGTAATATGCTAATTCCTGCTAGCACATCGCAGATAGTCGCCATGTTATGTTACCGTCAAACACTAGCGAAATTAGCATTAGCTTGTGTAAATTTGCATTACGAACCCATTCTGTTCAGCTGTTCCATAGTATTTTAAGTAGGAGGTTGGAAATTTTCAAGTTTCGAGGCAGCAGTGTGTGCGGCAGAGTGTGGCTCAGTAGGCTAAGCCTCTGGGCCTGGGATCAGAAGGTTTCTGGTTCAAGCCCGGCCTCAGCATATCTACAGCTCCTTGAGCAAGGCCCATGATCCCGAGCTCCCTGGATGCTGCTATGGGTGGCTGCCCTTCGCAGCCTGCTTGCTCTCACCTGCAGAGAGCAAGTGGGGCTCGCGAACAGAGAATTTCCCCATAGGGATCAACAAAGTATATATTATTAATATAATGCATCAACACATCACGATGTGCGATACTACTAATAATGAATAATAAATAGAATATGTGCTTTTTTCCTTCAGATAATCCATGCATATCAATGTAGATCACTGATATTCCTGTGTGTTTCGACCAATCGGATGGTGATGCAACCAGCTCGGTTTGGTCATGCTTTCGGCCCTGCTAGTCAGCCAGCTCATGTCAATGTGGCTACAGCTCGCAGAATATATAGCCGTCTCTTCATGACTCCTGTACGGCTTGGTCCTGCGATATGTTATATTTCCAAGCTTATTATTCAAGGAGAGTGACTTTTCGGTTAACAATGGTCTTGGTTACTCAACCTTTGTATGCAGTCTTTGTTAATGAGTCGACAAATTCAGAGCCACAGTAGCGCCAAGCATCACTCAACGTTTTAGCATTAACTCTTCAAGAGCCACACCTAAATAAAGACAAATACCCAACTAGCAACTGCTCTGTCCTCGACCACGGCCTGTTTTTATACTCAACCCTTGCTGTTGGTATACAACATGTCCTAGAATCAGGAAGAACATATCCAGGGAGTGGGGAGCCTACAGGGAATTCGACCAGGAATAAGAGCAGCATAGGCAAAGAAAAACGAGCTACACTGATGTGGCTGACAATGTTTCCTCTTTGGGTTTTTAAATTGATAGCTTTTTTTTTTTAATTTAACAGTATACACGCTGTAAGTCAGAGTGTGTACCGGTCAGTGAAGACCTGTTACCTACAGCCTAGGGACAGTCTACATCCACAGGAGCATTTTATTAAGGGTTTAATCTTCTAGAAAGCAGCTCAGTGTCGGGATCTTTCACAAGACTGTCTCGAAAAAGCCCTTCAGACCCCGAGTGTAGTGTGACTCCTATTGCGTCTCTGGTGCCGGTTCTTTGGCTGGAGTCCCACGCCTGCTGCTTACCCAACCCCCCCCCACCCCCACCTAGCATCACCCCCCACAGACACTGTGACAGGTGGCATCGTCCCTCTCTAGTCTGACACCCCAGTCAGCATAGCTCACTCCATTCGAAAATAAACAACAATAATAAATAAAGCCTCTTTGTTCTCCACAATCATTCTTCTCTATTCAGACCAATTTCACAAAGACCACTTTAATTACGCTACCTTGCCATTATGCAAACACACCATAAAAGAAATTCTCGGTCTTTTTGTTACACATTATGCTGTAGGAGCATATGCTCTAAATGTATGTGTGTACATAGTGTACATATACCACAGTGACAAAAATACAATGCCCTTGATGAAAATATCTTCTGGATAAATCCAGTATTTTGATTAATGTATTTTTAGCAAATAACCAAATAGCCCCATGAAGCTTAGAACTTATTCTACAATATACTGGGGGTGAACAAGAAAACAAACCCTGGCCAAAATTGATAGCTATATATGCATCTCGTCACTGACTATACGTTCGGACAGTAAGAGCAGAGTGGGGGGTTGAATAGCACAGCTGTACATATAATATTTAAATCCATACATCATAATAGAAGACATATCAGAGTTCAAAAGAGGACAAATTGTTG